AGCAACTAAAGAAACATTTGAGCGCTAACCTATTTCATTTCGACGTTAACCATTTTCCTAAGCTAAAGACGAAACATGTGAGACAGTGGAATGGGCAAACTGCTCATATCCGCAACGCAAAATCAGCAAGAAGAATGGACATTTGACAGCAGGAGTCAAGTGTGCAGTTCTTCTGCACCGAAAGCGCAGACACCGGATACGGCAGAGCCGATTCCACCCCACTCTCCATCACTGGAAAGCTGACGGCGGAGTGATTTTCTCGTAGCGGCTAAAGTACTGGGCAAATAATAAGCAGGAGACAATATACACATCATCCAGCTCCCAGCACCTTACAGCTCGAGCTCCTTCACCGTTTCCCACGTGAAGTCCGCGTCCTCGCGACCGAAGTGGCCGTAGGCGGCAGTCTTCTGCATCACCGGACGCTTCAGCTGCAGAGTCTTCTGGATCATACCCGGACGCAGGTCGAAGTTCTTCTTGATGATCTCCACCAGGTCGTCGTCAGTCAGACCCTCCTTCACCGTGCCGTACGAGTCGACGTGGATTGACAGCGGGTAGGGCACACCGATGGCGTACGAGAGCTGCACAAGAAGACGGTGGGCAAGGCCCTTGGCCACAACCGACTTGGCAACCCATCGGGCAGCGTAGGCAGCCGAACGGTCGACCTTGGTCGTGTCCTTGCCCGAGAAGGCACCGCCACCGTGGGCGCCCCAGCCGCCGTAGGTGTCGATGATGATCTTACGGCCAGTAAGACCGGCGTCACCGTGAGGGCCACCGATCACGAAACGTCCAGAGGGGTTCAAGTGGTACACCGTCTTGTCGTCAAGGTACTTCTCCGGGATAACGGTCTGAATGACGTGCTTCATGAGGTCAGCAGCGATCTGCTCGTTGGTCACATCGTCGTTGTGCTGGGTGGAGATGACCACGGTGTGCACACGCTGCGGCACCATGCGGCCATCCTCCTGCTTGTACTCAACGGTGACCTGGGTCTTGCCGTCGGGGCGAATCCAGTCAAGCGTACCGTTCTTGCGCACCTCAGTCAGCTTAGAGCCGAGCTTGGTAGCCAGCACGTGCGACAGGGGCATAAGCTCAGGCGTCTCGTCCGAGGCGTATCCGAACATGATACCCTGGTCACCGGCGCCGACGTCCTCGTCCGTCACCGAGTCCACAGACTGGGCGATGTCGGGCGACTGCTGCTCGATGGCCACAATGACGTTGACCGTCTTGTAGTCGAGGCCCTTGGCGGGGTCGTCGTAGCCGATCTCCTTGATGGTGTCGCGGATGACCTTCTCGTAGTTGACGATGGCCTTTGTGCTGATCTCACCGAAGATCATGACCATGCCGGTCTTGGCGCACGTCTCGCAGGCAACGCGCGAGTTGGGGTCCTCCGACACGCAGGCATCAAGCACAGCGTCGGAGATCTGGTCACAGAGCTTGTCCGGGTGGCCCTCGTTCACGGACTCGGACGTGAACAGGAAGGTGCGGTCCTTGGTGGCGGTCTGAGTCATCTTTTGAGATCGAAGGAGTTCTTGAGGTGCGGAATGAATGTGGGCGCCGGCAAGCAGATTCCAGAATGAGGTCGCCGCCGTGGATGGCGCAGCATGGCGTCGGTTTCTAGCGTAAAACCTCGGAGCTTGAAGGTGAAAAACCTCGGTCGAAGAATGCAGGTGAGTGGTGGACCCAGCACGATGAGCTTATAGCCAATCGACGTGCCGCGTTCACCCGCCTTTGACCAATCACATGCGCACTTATCGTCTGGTCAGGGGACGAACATGTACATTCGCTCTACCGCGTCGTCATCCTCCAGACATCCTCAAGCTCTCATAATTAGCTCCAGCCAGCAAGAGCACTGTTCGTGATAAGAGTCACTACCTCGCCAAGCGCTGCCGCGTTCGTGTGGGTGCCGGCGTTGTCCGCTACACCGGACTGCTTGCTTAGCACCACCCATTTTCAATCTCAGGTGCGCACCCATCTTCCTTGAAAAACCGAACTTGAACGGGTAAGCTACATACAAATCTAGGTAAGGGTGCTGAGGTTAGCCAAGCGTTTTACACAGGGAATGCTGTATCGGAATATTTTGATGAATCTTTTATCGACCAATCGACCAGAACACGCAATTGCACATTGAACACGACATATTTCTGACCAATTGAATGCAAACACGATGATGCTTGCGCAGCAATGCACGTGGCACGAGTTGTGCTCTCTCTCGCATCCTAGCTGGGTCCCTATAGGATACATTCCTGGTTCGGTGTACATGTATGATAAGCTACTAGGATAAATTATCTCAAATTGTGGGGAGCTTGGCAAGTGTACCGTCGTCGCCGAGTGTGACAACCATCCACGGTGGGCCACCACGAACACCTCTCTAACCTTATTTCTCGATTCGACTGGGGCACCTTGAGACGCGAAGTAACTACAGACAGTTACTGTGCTGTATTAATACAATGTATCGCGGCGAAAGCAGGTTATGGTCGATAGCGTTTCGCGGTAGGCAAAAAAGAATGGCAGGGTCGGAGGCACTACAATTTGGCATCCATTAAGCAGTGAGGGAGAAATTACCGTCACAGCTCTGAGCTCTGTTTTGATTTCCATTCGCCGGTGCCGCGATGGTTTATGTTTTTAAATGGTTTGTACTGCGCAATTGTATGTAATTCGGTGCGTTTAGCAATTATGAGGCGTTAGTTAGTGGTGCATTGGCAGGCAGACACACATTGAACAGGTGCGAGTATTTGGATTGTTCATCTGCTTAGGAGAGCATCATATGCCCTTGGCTGATGGTAGACGCACGACATCAACGGCGTCAGTAGACTCTAATTGTACTGATATAAGCTACGTTGGCATGATTGGTCCAAAGTATCTGACAAGGCAAGGCGCCATGAACAGCATACTGTCGACATTGACGTGGGGCACCTGGGATGATGCGGAATGGGGCCTCGCAAGCGACCTAGCCGTAGCCTCGGCCGCCACTACTACGCATGCAGCTTCTGGCCCCGCG